GGGAGCCCGATCGTGAGGTAACGACATCAACGCCAGGAATCAGTCTTGAGAAAGATAACCAAGCAACGGCGACACAAGGTGGCAGCACACTGCGGCGGCGGCACAGAGTGGCAGCGCCGCGCGGCGGCGCCGGCACGTGATAACGCTGGCACATGATGGCGCCGCACGTCAACAGACGAAAACTTTGGCAGTTCAGCCCATTGGTTGAGGTTCCTTGTTTCCCTGCTATGCCTGGGGTTTGAATCCCAGCCCAAACTCTTCACTTTCTTCCTTTGCTTGGCGTCTTCTACCCTAGCCTGGCAGTCTGCACGCCCTTGTAGAATGGCTTCACGTTGCGAGGTCTGTACCCATTTATCAACGATGATTCCAGGACTTCGAGCAACAGCTGACCATTGCAAGGTCTGTACCCCTTGGCAACGGTGCTTCCTTCCTTCCCAGGACGAGTGTTGTCGGGAGGGCCTCCTTCCTGGTTGTCGCCGCGTTGCAAGGTCTGTACCCCTTTAGCAACGGTGGTTCCAGGACTTCGGGTAACAGCCCGCGTTGCAAGGTCTGTACCCCTTTAGCAACGGTGCTTCCTTCCCAGGACGAGTGTTGCCGGGAAGGCCTCCTTTTTGGCTGCCACTGCGTTGCAAGGTTTGTAACCCCTTAGCAACAGCATTCCTGGACCTTCACGAACAGCTCCACGTTGCAAGATTTGTACCCCTTTAACAATGATACTTCCAGGATTTCGGGTAACAGCACGCGTTGCAAGGTTTGTTCCCCTTTAGTAACAGTACATCCTTCCTTCCCAGGACGAGTGTTGCCGGGAAGGCCTCCTTCCTGGCTGCTGCCGCGTTGCAAGGTTTGTAACCCCTTAGCAACGGTACTCGTGGACCTTCACGAACAGCTCCGCGTTGCAAAGTTTGTACCCCTTTAGCAATGATACTTCCAGGACCTCGAGCAACAACTCTACGTTGCAAAGTCTATGCCCTTTTGACAGCAGTGCTTCATCATTGTGCCAGTAGATGGTTCTGGGACGTGGAGGTCGGACACGTACGGCTCTCCCTCGACGACCCTTCTCCTCAACTCATGTAACCTTAGCCTCAGATGTTCCACTGCATCAGGTGTCCAGCGCGAAGCTGAACTTGCGCAGAAGACTCTGCAACCCTCTTCTGTGCGTGAGGTCGAGATTTAGCATGGCGTCCATCCGGGAAGGTTGTCCGCCTGCCCGGTCAATGGGAGTGATATGACGAGTCGTCCTTCCTGGTTACCATGCCTACCCAACTTGGCGGGACACATACTCCATTCGAGATCTGTCTGTGCTAGAACATCTTTACTGGTACGCCCCCCGACGAGCCAGTCGTCTACCCGGTTGGCGAGAGTGATGAGACAAATTGTTCCCTCCTTCCCGGAACGAGCTTTACCGGGAGGGCCTCCTTCTTGGCTGCTCAACTTGCTGAGACACGTACTCCGTTCAAAATCCGTCTGCGCTGGTATGCCATTGCTGGTACGTCTCCCGGGGAGCCAGCCGTCTACCCAGTCGACAGGAATGATGAAACGAATTGTTCCCTCCTTCCCGGAACGAGCGTTACTGGGAGGGCCTCCTTCTTGGCTGCTTAACTTGCCGGGACACGTACTCCATTCAAAATCAGTCTGTGCTGGTACGTCTGTACTGATATGTCTTCCGGGAAACCAGCCCGCCTACCCAGTCGACGGGAGTGATGAGGCAAATCGTCCCCTCCTTCCCGGCACGAGAGTTTCCGGGAGGGCCTCCTTCGTGGCTACTCAACCTGCCGGGACACGTACTCCTTTAGGGGTCCATCATGCTCTAAGCGTACGAGCGTGGTTCATGGGCACCGAGCATACAAGAATCTGGGGTGATAGCTCTGAGCGTGCACGATCTCGCGATGGTGCTCCGCAACCCTGACCAGTTGGCACAGATAATCAACCTGCAATTTTAGAAACTTTAATAGAAATTTCAAATGTATATTTTTATTGTTTGATGGTTGTCCTTTGTTAAATGGGTGAGGTCCATTTAGCTGAATTCACTAAATCCTATCAGGATGCTTCGTAAAATCATATTGGGACTCCTTAGGCCAATTTTGACTAGGTCAAAATTAAGCCTTTCCAGGAGAAGAAGTCAATCACATGCTGGGCTACTGGTTAGAAGTCGCTCGCTGGCTGGGATGTTTCAGCCGTACTCATCCCTTGGCACCTGCTATGGAACATAAGCACAAGTAAAAAGCTCTTGGCCAGATGGATAGTATGACCGGAGAAGGACCCTGGGCATTAAGAACTGCTATTTCCTCCGGGCGTTGTTGCTGCCAAGGGGCAGAGAGGAGCTCCGATCTCCGAAAAGGGTTTGCGATATCAAGCGGTGGCGACCGTGCGGTAATGGAGAGAGAAATAGCCACCGTCCGGCTGCGCTTGGACTGAGGCGGAGGGGCGAACTACGAGCGCCAACCAGAAGCTTTCGATCTCTCCATTAATGGCGAAAAGCTCGTCGGGGTTCACAAGACTCGAAGGGCGAGCTGTGACGGGGGTTCCGTGAAGGAGTCGGCGGAGGGAGCTGCCGGCTATGGTTCCGCGGAGGAGGTGGAGGACCTGGCCGCCTGTGCTCTGGTTACGCCTAGATCTGCAGCATCGATGGAGTTTCATCTAGGCTATGCTTGCTCCTGTGGATAGATTCTACGTTTTTTTTTGCAATCCCAATTGCTGGAATGATTTTCTGGTTGAACTCTGGCTCTTTTTAGAATTGTGACGATTATTGATTTTTTTTTAGAATCTCACTTGAATTTTGCCAAATTCTCCCCAATTTCCTACCGAAAAATGAGAGTGGACTCTCAATGAAAGCACCAATGTTGGTAGAAAATAACCCCGGGTCGAGAATTCGACAACATTTCAGTATAGTAAAATAGCGTACCGAATACATGGGGGGTGATGGCCTATTTATAGGCATCCATCACAAGTCCAAAGTCTAATCTACGTGGGCTTGGCCCAAATACATAATACATGTCCAAGCTAATGGGCGAACCGGCCCGATAAATAAGTAAATGAGCAAGGGGCGATTCCCGCTCGTGAGACTGCGTCTTGGGCCTAGTGGGGCCAAAGCTCGGGGATAACGGGCTGATGGCACTGGGCCCGGCATATTATCCCAACATTACTGCTCTTTGTTACTGCCCTAATGGTCATAATCACTGCACAACAGACTTTCTCAATGCATGCATTCACTGCCATGAATAATACAGAGTAATATTTACTTCCCATACTCAATGATTAAGTATATTGGATTTCATGGCAACATTACTGCTCTTTCTTAATGCCCTACTGGTCATAATCATTGCACAACAGACTTTCTCAATGCATGCATTCACTGCCATGAATAATACAGAGTAATATTTACTTTCCATACTCAATGAATAATATTGCCATATATAATATTTTGAACATTTTGCCATGTTCAATGCCGTAAATAGGAACACGTCTCCTATGCTGGGGCCTGAGGGCGCATCATATGTACGCAACAAAGGAGCCTTTATCGTCCGTCTCTTCTCCTTCAGGACGGACAGCGCCGTCAATTAAGAACCACTGTGTTCCGCAAATACCACCAACGCCAAATTGACGACGTTCTTCGTCTTCGTCAAACACATATCCTAAATTCGACCCCACCCCATCCATCTACATCAAATCCGTCACGCAAATCTAGGCTATCTTTGGATGGTGGGAAATCAGAGACAAGAAGTCAGTCGTCGTCACCTCTTTGGCACCCAGTTTGGGCGATAGTCCCAGGCCAAAGATCTGTGGAAAGCGGCAGCTGTGCTCCCAGGTCAGACGACGACGGTGGCCGGCGGCGGGTAGAGTCTCGATGAGGGCGGTTACGTAGGTGGGCGGCAGAGGTTATTCGTGAGCTGTAGTCTGTAGCTAGGGTTTTTTGAAAGAGTAGGAGATTAAGGGTTTATAGTTATAATCAAAGGGTATATTTGTCCCTAAAAATTATTTATTATTTAATTAATTCGAATTTCAATTAAATATTTCAAATTTTATTGTTATTTTAAGAAAAAAACTGATTAAGTCATAGATTGGGAAATTCATTGAGTTTTAGAGGCCATTTGACAACACTGTTTTTCGGCTTATTAGGCTTATCAGCCAACTTTTTCACCAAACACGTAACTTTTGCTTTCGCACGCTGAATTGTGTAATAAGCAGAAAAAGTAAGGTTGAAGTTACTTTTCTGGTTGTATTGGCTGAAGTTAGTGTAGATGATCATATTAATTTTTTTACATATATTTTTTTCTTTATTTTATAATGAAACATATTTTGAAAATATATTTTTTTAAATCAGCAGAATCACCCGATGCAGCCACTTCAACCAGAATTTCATAAATTTCAGCAAAATCAACCAAAGTAGCCGATTTTCGTGATACCAAAGACGATGTCTAGGATAAATATCTCTTTTTTTTATTTATTTCATTGTGAGTCCGTACGAATGAAATAATTAAAGCGAGGAAAAAGACAGAAGAGAGGAGACATCTGGAGGGACCACCCATTATTCAATTCATTCATTACCTCCGTCTCTAGTGCGCGTTAGGTAGAAGTAGCCCCGCCCCTCCCTTCCATTCCATTCAGGTAGCTTCTGTCGTCGTCCTCTATTCATTCATTCATTCATTAAGGGAAGGAAGAATCTGATTCCGATCCTCTTAGCTATGGCTATGGGCTCTGCAGCGCACGTGCACTCGATTTCTTAGCTTGCTTCTGAAATGAGTATTCCTTCTCTGTTTTCCAAGCTAAGCTACCATTCCATCAGTTACATACGTGCGTATTATTTAAATCACCTACCTAGCCTAGCCTAGCCTAGCTTCTTCTTTTTTCGGGTCTACCTGGTTTTGCTCAGATTTAATCATCACACCGGCCGGCCGGCCAGATATTTATGTACTGGAAAAGCTAGCTAGAAATTGAATGAAAGGAACAACTGGGGTGGTGTTCATAACATGGGGGGCAGTAGTATTGCTGCTTGGGGGGGTGGTGTGTTCAAGGGGGCTGCTGGATAATAATAATAATAATAATGGATCTGCGTCTTCCTCAAGGCGGCGGCGGCCTGCGGTGGTCAACGTTGGGGCTATTTTCGTCTTTGAGTCCACCATCGGCAGAGCTGCCAAGATTGCAATCCAGGAGGCTGTTAAAGATGTGAATTCGTACCCCGGCCTGCTGCGTGGGACCCGCCTCGCCGTCAAGTTCCAAAGCTCCAATTGCAGTGGCTTCCTTGGCATGCTCTCTGGTTCGTACCCCTTCCCTTCTCTTCTCATTCTCTCTACCGATTCTATTGTATAACCCTTTTTATTTATTTATATTATTATTATTATTATTAACTGTATTTCTAAAGATAAAATGGTGGAGTATATAATAATATTACTAAACGAAAAAAAAATTAGGGCCCCCAGAAATGGTGGACCCGGTTCCCGTGAACATGTTGAACTTGTCAAAAGACGGCTCTGTTGCTTACTAATTAGGGGTAGGGTTGTAAACGAATCAGATCGAGTCGAATAATGAGATTTTGTATTTGTATTTGTTTAATTTTTTCGAATACGAATTCGAATTCAAATATGAAACGAACATTAATTTCGATTTGTATTTATATTTGTTTAACCATACGAATAGTTAACGAATCACATACGAATATCGAATCGATTTGAGCATAAGTAAATATTAATCAAATATCACTTTAAAATAACTTTTCTTATACTCCATATTTTTTATGTTGTAAATGCATGCTATGACTTAATATGTGTTTTTAGAATTTAATTTTAATGGATCAATGCATTTTTAGATGGTGCACAATATACTAAAGTGAATCAGTTTTATGATTAATAAATATAAATCTATTTCAAACTTTTTGAAATAAAGACTAACACACACATATGAGAAATTATACTTGTAATGTGTGAAATAAGTTGATAATTGTATATATCAAAGTCAAACAACTCTAATTGTATTCTTCAAATCAAATACATAATTATTTGTATTGTATTTGAAAGACATTTGAACCAAAAAATGATTTGTATTCGTATTTATATTCTGGTTTATTACAAATGAGCTTGGAATCTATATGCAAAAATGTATATATGGGCTACACTTTGAGGGTATTGGTATCTTTTAAAAGTTATTATAGTGTTATTACTATTAATATTAATATTGATATTAATATTGCCATTGTTATTAATCGAATATATTTGATTAATATTCAAATCGAATACACCGATATTTTTATTTGTATTTGATAACAACTCAAATCAAATTTAATATTCTTATTTGTATTTGAATTTTCCGAATTCGAATCATCTTGTACGAATTTGAATCGCGAATCGAGCACAAATTATTTGATTCATTTACAACCCTAATCAGGGGAGCCAGGAACTTGTCTAGGTGGGCCCGACATGACTTTTTGTCCTACATAAGGGCTGTTGCAATCCGTCCATAAATTTAAATATCAATCCATTTTCTTGTAATTCAACATCGTTAATATTTTCATCTACCACACTTTTTAATTAAACACTTGTTTTTATTATTTCATATCATTTCTTTGCCAACACTTTTTTAATGAATAACAATTACTTTTGTGCCAAACACTTTGTAGTTCGATGGAATCATTGTGACACTCCCAAAGAGGAAGTCACTGTTCAAAACTCATCCTAGTCAAAGATGTTGGCATTTAACAGAATAAATACTATGAGAAAAGAGAAAGTGTAAGGATGTTGACATTTAACAGAATATATACTATAAGAAAAGAGAAAGTACAACAAAAAAACTCTTACTTCTGTCCCGATCTAGGGTTCTAATGGAAAAATGACTCGGTTATTTAGATAATAGTTAGTAATTCGATTACATTTTGAGAAATATTTTTGATGGATATATAATATAATGAGGTCATTTATGATTGATAATGGTGATGTTATATATGTATTATTCTTATTATTTGATAAATGATTTATCATATAAGAGTGCTAATTATTTCCTTAAATAGGAATGAAAACCTATAGTTGTGTTTGGAAAAACACGACTCTCGGTCTCATCCAGGATCACAAGCTCATATGATTCTTGTACACTCACCCACAAACTACTCAATCTGACAATATCACTTTGTATTATACAATTTAAACGTACAAGAGATTTTACAAGGAAGCTCTCTTGTGCATGTGACTACTTCACTCTCATTCTCCTCTCAAAGAGACACTCACTCACTCAAGAGCTCTTCTCTAGGCTCTCTCGCTCATCACTCATGGAAGCTCTCACAAGGCTTTCTCATATGAATGATGAGTCTCACCCCTATTTATATCAGTCTTCTCAAAGCTTCCTTAGAACTTTTCTGATACATCACTACACTTTTAGAGTCTTACAAGAAGTATTCACAAGCTTCTTTAATTTTTTTTAAGGATCTAGAGAACTTCACATTTCTTCAAAATGTTCTAGAGAATCCCTGGATTCTATAGAAAACTTTATAGTGTTCTAGAATATTTTATTAAGGAAGGAACCCAACAGGTTGGAACGTCCAAACAAAGGAAAGTGAGAACCTTATACTGGATGGAAGGAGTATGATTTAAAAAGTCAAACATTCTGATGTTAAAAAATACTACCTCTGTATCACTAACATTGAGAGATGAGAAGGTGTGATTATTAAGAAAGGTGAGTTTATATGGTCAATATTGAATTGATAAATTAAAAATAAAGTAAGAATGATTTAAAACCACACAAGCTTTACCAAGTTTGATGAAACCATCTTAGTGGCACAGACAAAAAAAAAGATAGAGACAATCTTAACGGGACGAGGGGGTATAAATTTGGAGTTTAACTATTATATCACTCGGGGCATGCCTCGATTGTGTCACTATTATTAAACATTCTGCCTGGGGGGAAGCCGTAGAGGGGACCGGGGAGACTGGCCGTCACAGAGATGCAAGGGCGGGGTGTCGCTGACGGGGCAATTGGTCAATGGAGCGCGGCGATGGGTCACCGGCGGTGCTGGCCGACGGCGGGTCACCGACAGCGGTGAGTAGTGGTGGTGCCTAGCGGTGGTCACTATCGGTGAGGATAACTGTAACTGGTCTAGTCGGATAACTGTAACTAGTCGGGTCGGGTAATGATAACTAGTTGAACCGAGTAACTATAACTGGTCAAAAAACTCTAAATGGTTGGGCGTGAAACTGTAATTGGGGAGGGAGTATTAAAGTCACATAGGTCTCCCATTTGAAAATATTTACAATAAGTTTCTTTTTTGTGCATGAGTTTCCATTTAGTAGTATTAACGTCAAAACTTCAAAGCATATTTGAGAAAGTTCACGGAAAGAAAAATGATCATATTCACCCCACCATCGTCTTGGGGATATTTTTTTCCCTGGCAACAAATATTTGGAAATTACAAAAATGAGTAAAACTTCAAATTTGTGGCGCATGGAGTGAACCCAAGTAATGCGGAAAAAGTCATGAATAAAGCAAACATAATATTTATGACCAAGATAGAAAAGAATCAGTTGCCAAACATCAAGAACATGCTGGCCCGTAGCCTACTGTCCAGGAGCAGCATCATACTGACAGGTGCCATAACCACAATGGGGTCCACTAGCCATACCCACAACCGCTATCACGGTGTCCTCTAGCACGTGCCCCTCAAAAGCCTGGACCGTCACCTCTTTGACCTCCACCACCGCGAGCATAACCACAACTAGAAGGAGAAGAGTGACCATGAGAATATTACACAAGTTTATGTACAACTCAGGGCAATTTCTTTATCACAAAGATTATGGTGACTATATTGGTCACATCGAGAGTAGAAAAAGGCAGCTGTGACATTTAGAAAGCTAAATATGAAGGAGTCGGAGAAAAACTTGAAAGGTGTTGTGTACGAGCCATGTCCAAGGGGAGAATTCCCGGCTGTCTTGAGAAAGTAAGGCCTCAGAATTGAGGAACGTGGCTAGATTGTGCAGTCTTGAAAAGAGCAGCAAAGATAATAAGCTGAGGAGCTCCAACTGTCGGCAGTGGTGGAGCCACTCATGTTCAAAGGGATCCACATGAACACCCACTGACTGTCGGAGACCACACGAAGGGCTCCTCCAACATAGTGAATAGTTGATGTGAGCCCGATAGAGGTACCGTTGATGATAGAGATGGAGACAACATCAAGATTGAAATACTGGGTGTGGGCTGCTCCTGCATGATTGTTGCGAGTACCATGGTTATAGGAGAAGAGGAGTATGCTGGGATCACCAACGAGGAAGAAGTAGCAGGCCCAAGAGGTTGCACCGCTGTAGTAGACGCCATAGTCGAATCAAGAGAACGAGCTGTCAACATAGCATCAGCGGTAGGGTTTTAGGAACCAAGCCGCCGATATAGTGATACCATATACCCCATCCGTCCCAAAATGCTATGCAAATTCAACCTTTCTTGATCAACATAGTTTCACTTTATTTACTTGTTTATATCAATTTTTTTAATTCTAATCTAGACTTCGTGCCTTTAGAGAACACTGCAATATAGTTTCCGAATATATAAATTTTAATTACTAAAACTGATTTAACTATCCGATGATTTCGCTTTATTGTCAAACAACCAACGTAAATTGCAATTCAATTTGGGACGAAGGAAGTACAATAATATTGAAATAACGGCTTGCCCTATAGGGAGCTTGATGGCATATATGGAGTGTATACTATATAATTAATATCCAAAACTACATAAAAGCCCCGTTGGATCTTTGATAATCCTGTTTCTCGATATATGTTGAAGTGTTTCTTGAGTTTGGTTACTACAACATGTATTTGTAAAGGCCTTTTGTTTTGAGGGTAGTGTTGGAAGAGAAGACCGTTTGATTTTATTGACCAAACAACATGAAGGATTCACAAGATGGAGTGGGGTAGTTTCTTAGGATGCAAGTTAGGCCAAACAACATGAAGGAGATTGTGTTGTTTTTTTAGTGAAATTCAAAATTTGTTCCAAAGCAAATGTTGTGTCTGTCAAAAGTTGTAAAATTTGTTCTTGAGCTTATTTTGCTTATGAGCAGAATAATTAAAGCAGCAGCTGGCTGCTGGTTTTGGTTATTATTTGATTGAAATTGACAATACCAACCAAACACTTGTTTCTTTGGAAAGATGCAATGAATTGACTGGATGCTGCATTTTCTTAAGTTGTTCTTACAAGTGGTTGATGAATGCATGCATGATTCCGAGCATTTGATTATATATTGTGGTGGTTTGGCATGCAGCTTTGGAATTCATGGAGACGGAAATTGTAGCCATCATAGGTCCACAATCTTCAGTCATCGCCCACACCATCTCACACATTGCAAACCAACTTCAAGTCCCGCTCTTATCCTTCGCTGCCACGGACCCCACCCTCGCATCTCTCCAGTTCCCTTACTTCATCAGGACGACGCAGAGCGACCTCTACCAGATGAAGGCCGTCGCCGACATAATTGACCATTATGGTTGGCGGGAGGTCATTGCTGTTTTCATCGACGACGACTATGGGAGAAACGGTGTGGCGGCGTTGGGTGACGCCCTCTCCGCCAAACGCTGCAAGCTCACCTTCAAAGCCGGAATCCCGCCAGACGCTGCTACAAACCGGGCCGTGTTGATGGATATCATGGTCCAGATCGCATTACTGGAGTCTAGGGTTATAGTCCTCCATGCCAACCCGGATTCAGGATTTGCGGTTTTCTCAGTCGCCCATTATCTTGGAATGATGAATGAAGGTTACGTTTGGATAGCAACCGATTGGCTGTCAACGGCATTAGATTCCTCATCTACCCGCCCACTTCCCCCGGAAAAAATGGACATGATGCAAGGAGTGATCGCTCTGCGTCAACACACTGAAGATTCGGAGAGGAGGAGGGCATTTTCAGTGAGGTGGAAGAACATGACCGAGGGCGTGGGGGGGATAAATTCCTACGCCCTTTACGCTTACGACAGCGTTTGGTTGGTTGCGCACGCCCTTGAGTCCTTCTTAAGCCAAGGCAGTGGCGGGGTTATCTCCTTCTCCAAACTCGAGCTGGAAGGGCGGCGGAGCAGCAGTCATCTCCACCTGGAAGCATTGAGTGTGTTCGACGGGGGCCCGCGCTTGGTGGAAAAAATACTGGGCAGTGATTTCATTGGTTTAACAGGGAGGATAAAGTTCACCAAAGACAAAACGCTCCTTTTCCCTTCCTACGACATCATAAACGTGATTGGGTCGGGTAGCAGATGTATCGGTTACTGGTCTAATTACTCTGGCTTGTCAACCTCCCCTCCCGAGACACTTTACTCAAAGCCACCTAATAATTCAAGGGAGAACCAGAAACTCCAGGATATGATTTGGCCTGGGCAGTCGAGCAGGAAGCCACGTGGATGGGTTTTTCCCAATAATGGCAAGCAACTGAAGATCGGGGTGCCCATAAGGGTGAGTTATCGGGAATTCGTATCTCAAGTCACCAGAGGGAGCAGTAACAATAATAATAACACCTTCAAAGGCTTCTCAATAGACGTTTTTATTGCGGCAGTAAGCTTGTTGCCCTACCCCGTTCCGTATCAGTTTATGCCATTCGGGAATGGGATTGAGAACCCGAACTACTCTGAGTTGGTGCGTTTAGTGTCAGCCGGGGTAAGTATGTAACTAAATTTGTTTCTGTTACATACCACTTTCACATTCTGCATTGCTTAGCTATATATTACGTTCATTCTTTGTTTGGTTAGTGAGAGAAATTTACTAGTAGAGAAGTGCCGGGAAAAAACACAAATACTGCTTCGTAGTCCGTACAAGAGAAAAGGGATGTGATTTTTGACATGAATAGTATATAAGATGACTTTCAAGGTAACTAAAATGACATGGACAAAAACAACAATAATAGATTTTTCTTCTGTTTCTCTTCTGTCATCACAGCAGAGAAACCAAAATGAATTCCCCCCCCCCCCCCCCCAGTCGTTTTCTTCTCTTCCTCTCTCCTCTGTCCAAACGGCCAACTCTCTCTCTCTCTCTCTCTCTCTCTCTCTGCTTTCTTTCTCTCTCCCTCCCTTCTCATATTCCGTTCTAACAAAAAATGCATCAGAGAGTGTTTGGGATTGATTTTCAAGGGGCAAGCTTTTTCTCTTCTTAGGGGAAGGAAAACACTTCTACTTTTTAACATTAAGCATTTGGCAGGATAATGAACCAAAGTCCTTTTTTACAGTTCCAAACAAGCATTTTTTAATGATTATTTAAGAAAGCAGCAGATTGGTGCTTCTTCTTCAAAATAGCACTGTAAATCCTTAAACGAGTAAGTGCTCATGATTTAAAAAAACTTCATAACACACTCATGATTTGCTTATTTGGCTGAAATCAGCGACAGTGCTATGGCTCCCAAAAAATAAGGGAAAATTCTCGAAATAGAAGTAAAAACGTTTGAGAATTTCAAAATAGGACTCTCATGATTTTATTCTCTAAATAGGAGTAATTACTGGCAAGCTTGGAAAATACTGCTATGTTTATAGTTTGGTACTGACAAAACATGACAGTAACTACTCCTGTTTAGAGAATAATAACATGACATCCCCATTTTGGAACACACAAACGTTTTTAGTCCTATTTAGGGTAATTTTCCCAAAAATAAGTGTGTACACACACTTGTATTCCAAAAAAAAGCATATGTTAAAATATCAAAATGCAGCCCCGTGGTTTAAAACTTTCAGGCTTTGCCTTACCAAACGATTTTCCTTTCACAAAATCCAGCTATTTCAGTCAATTAAGGCCATCCAAACAGGTCCTTAAATGACAATCTTTCTAAATCTTGTGTGTGATTTGGTAGGATTTTGATGGAGCTATTGGAGACATTGCCATCGTGACAAACCGGACAAGAGTTGTGGATTTCACACAGCCATACGTTGCATCAGGACTTCTTGTTGTGGCCCCATTCAAGAAGCTAAACACGGGAGCTTGGGCTTTTTTAAGACCGTTTTCTGCACAGATGTGGGCTGTAACTGCCTTTTTTTTCATTGTCGTTGGGACAGTTGTATGGATCTTAGAGCACCGGATTAATGACGAGTTTCGTGGCCCCCCACAAAAGCAGCTTATAACCATTGTGTGGTCAGTTCTAGACCTCTGTACTCTTCTCATATTTCAATAAAATACCAGAGTTTTCTTTTGTTAAGATATCCTGAAACTTGCCAATATAAAACAATGCAGTGCATGCATGGAGCACATTACCCTCATCATCATAAATATATCACTCATGTGTATCCTTGTATATTACCTTTTCTAATGATACCTTATTTGTCCATATGCAGGTTTAGCCTTTCAACCATGTTCTTTGCCCATAGTAAGTCTAACTCTCTTTTATATTTTTCTCTTTCGTGTTAAAGTCACCCCATATCTGATAAATCTAAAAGCCCAACTCCCCAACTCAAATGAGCATTTTGTAAGGCTAAAAATGGGCCACACTGTAAAGAGTAAATATCTTGTAAGTAGGCATCACATTAGTAAAATATACAAATCTAAATAAGGCATTAGGGTACAATCTGCAGGATCTTATCCAAGGCCGAAATTAAACAAACAGAATAGAGGAAGATCTTCTACGCTTATTCGGATGATTAGTATACAAACTACAGAGAGATGAAAATAAAAGTTTTATGTTTGAAATAATTCATCTAAAAGTGCTTGTATGAATTAAGCTGAATACTCTGATATAGCTATTAAAAGAGACTCAATACTAAAAGGAAAGTGATGGTGAAAATGAGTATTTGGTACATTTTATAGCTGCCAGCAAACTGTTAGCCATGGTTTCCTTCCGTTTGTGACGCCGCTGATATATAAATCTGAGTAATGCGTCCACAACATACTCCTCCACCATTAGATCTTTTAGGTTTGAATCATATATTGTGCATCTCAAAGGGCAGGTTTTGAAATATTGATTGCACTGGAATATGCAGGAGAAAATACTGTGAGTACCCTTGGCCGTGCGGTCCTAATCATATGGCTCTTTGTGGTCTTGATAATCAACTCCAGTTACACTGCAAGCTTGACCTCCATTCTCACGGTGCAGCAGCTATATTCTCCCATAAAGGGAATTGAGAGTTTGAAGGAAGGGGACGATCCCATAGGATACCAAACTGGTTCTTTTGCTGAGCGTTATTTGGTTGATGAAATTGGGATACACAAGTCCAGGCTTGTCCCGCTGGGATCACCTGAAGCATATGCTGCTGCACTTGAGAAGGGACCCGCCGCAGAAGGGGGTGTTTCTGCGGTGGTGGATGAACGCCCTTATGTTGAAAGCTTCTTGTCAAGCCAATGTAAATTCAGGATTCTTGGCCAAGAATTCACCAAAAGCGGTTGGGGTTTTGTGAGTATCTCTCTCACTGCAATTTTCTGTTCCAATATGGTATTTAGTTTATATACTACCTTCGTCCCAAATTGATTTGCAAATTTGACTTTTCTTGGTCAAACATTTTCATTTTATTGGCTTAATTAATTAGGATGTCAATTTTTAATTATATTCTAATTTGGGGTTTGCATCTTTGAAGAGGTTTTAATATAGTTTCTGAATATGTAAATTTTAATTATTAAAAGTTGAATTAATTATCGATACGGAGCATTGACTTCTATTATTGGTTAACTAAAAAATGTTGACTTTGCAAAATAATTTGGGACGAAAGGAGTAGTTCTTTTCAACATTAGATATTTTACAATATTCACATGCTCTACTTTGACTGCATTTTATTTATAAATGAATTATATTTTTAATTTTTTAAAAAAATATAATTATATGCTTCTCATGTTAAACTTTCCAAATGTGATTTTTTAAAATTCTTACAATTGTTTGCCAAAAACAAAATTCTTAAAATTAGAAAATAATATTCCCTCCATTCCGAAAAAGTTCGCCAAATTGACTTTTCTTGGTAAATGACAATCAACTTTGACCAATGATGTTTTTAAAAATGAAATTATTTGGAATATGAGAATTATATCAAAATGTTCCTTATTTAAAATAATTTCATAAAAGTTGTTAAAACAAACCTTTTTGGGACAGAAGTAGTATATATTAGTGATCAAAATTGTGCATCGGCAAATGTGAAAAGTGAAAGTGTTGCAATTAAAAAAGAACGGAGGTATTATTCATTAATACGGTCTCCCTGTTTTTTTTTTGACAATGCTTAAAAGAAAAATAGTAAGGTAATGGATAATGTGGGAAAACTATGAAAGAGAGTGGAAAAGTATGATAGAGAATATGAGAAGTAGGAAAAAGGGTAAGTGAATATTTTTAAAGGGAAATCTTACCAAAAAAAAGAAAAGTGTAACAAAAAAAAAATACTTCCTCTGTCCCAAAATGGTTGGCCAAATTTTCTTTTTTGGCCGTCCCAAAAAGTTGTCATTTCCATTTAAAGTAAAGAATATGTGGCTAAAGTTAATTCTTTCTCCTATGCACAAATTTCAACCACACAGTTTTTACTTTATTAATCCACGTGCAAGTCAACATTGGCCAACAATTTTGGGACGGAGGGAGTACTTCACAAAAAGGAAAGTGGGAATACGGAGAGAGCAAGCGCCAAATTACGAGATTAGTCGGGGACTCAGGGTCTGCGATCTAAGTGAAATTAGGTGGCTAAAGTGTGTGATGGGTGTAAGTACCTTGTGATTCAATAACATGTGTGTGACATTCGAAGGAGCAGGTCACAGATTCGAATCTCATCCTAATTGAAAGATGTTGACCTTAACATAGAACATATACTATAATAAGTTAGAAAGCTGAGTAAAAAAAGTGTGGGGGTAATCAAGCATGAGGCCATGAGTTTCTTTAAACATTTAGGACATCTTTCCTTGACTTGCAATTTTAAGTTTGATTTAATCGGGTCTAATCTTGATTGTAAGCAGGGGTATAGCTAGCTAGTCCCTGATCCTAAATTTTAAAAATGTTATATTTTCTATTAGGAATATTCCGTAAAAAAATATAAAAAAAATGTGCATTGTCCCATACTCAAATTATTTCCGACTAGGCCACTGGTGGTATGGTTTTGTATTGCCGCTTTTGCTTGGTCTGATACGGTTTAATCAAGTGAATGGTCTGATGCTTGATCAAGTCAAGTCTGGTAAATAATACGGAGTACTACGTATTTGAAAACTAAAACAACGAATATTGTGGCGAATGGACGCGCGACTTGTTGAGTCTTGGGTGCTTCATCACGAAAGTTGCAACACAAAGAGCCCGTTTGATAATACCCAAATCGGTTGTATTGGCTGATTCTGCTGGATCGACTAATTTAGCTTATTTGTGAAAAAATTTATTTTTAAAATAAAGAAAAATTATATGAAAAACAACTAAAATGATCCTCTATAGTAACTTCAGCCAATACCCATAAAAGTAAATTCAACCTTACTTTTTCTTATTATTGCACAATTCAGCGCGCGAAATAAAAAATTATGTGTTTGGTGAAATAGTTGACTGATAAGTTTGATAAGCCGAAAAACAGAATCATCAAACGGGATTAAGTTTTCTGGTAATGAAGACATTGTACATAACAAAAGTTATTGGAATCTTTCTTAATGAAAGAGTAGTGGTTTTTTTTGAAAGAAACCACAAGCTTTATTAATCACCGAAAGACATAATTACAATCAGCCCTCAGGCTGTGAACTAAGCAAGCTGGTGGCTCAGCATCCCAGGTAACAGACTCACCGTTAATCACTGCATACTTTGCACAGCAGTGAGCCCCCTGGTTTGCCTCGCGACGCACAAACACAAATTGAAACGAAGAAAAAACACTTCCCAACTCACTAATCTCATCTAAGATAGGTTTGATCACAGAACGATCACACTTTCTTTCATTCCAATGCTTCAGTAGAACTTGACAGTCCGTTTCCAGAATAACCCTGTCAAAACCTTTGTGAACACCAAAGGCACAGGCATCACGCGAGGCCAGAGCCTCCGCAATCAAAGGATTAGAAACCCCATCATAAACCTTGGTAGAAGCACCAAGGAAGGAGATATAATCTCTAGCCACAACTCCAGTTGCTGCCCGACCCTCCTCAACATGGATCGCCCCATCCAAATTAATTTTCACAAAACCCTCTGGTGGTCTCTTCCATTTGCAAGTCTGGCGCGGCAGCATAGTGTTTTCTTGCTTCCTGGGGAAGTCTAGGATTTGCAACGTTTCATAGATGGCCTCCATGGTTTTGGATGGATTAAACCCACTGTCTCCGTGTGTTATATTATTTCTGGAGGTCCATATGTGATACATCACCGTAGTGATTTGAGCCCGCTCATTAGGGGTATATCTAGGATCACATAGAATGTCCCTTGTCCAAGTCGAAGGGTGGAGCCTCGGAAGTTTCAGAAGAAGAATCTCTCTGGCTGCACTCCAAAACTGTTTTGCATGACTACACTCAATTAGAGCATGCATCATGCTTTCAGAAGTTGCTTTGCAGATACCACAAGTGCTGTTCTCCATGACATGCCGTCGTGACAGAGTCCAGTAATCAGGTAAAATTCCTCGAAGAACTCTCCACCAAAAGACACGCACTTTAGGTACTACACAAAGCTTCCACAACCTTCTCCAAACATCAGCATCATTTTCAGATGAGGTAGCATTATCTTCTGTACTGATTGTTTGAGTCGTTTCCTCTCGATCCATCAATGCCTTATAAGCAGATCAAACCGAGTACATCCCACTATTTTCTTTCGACCAAGCAAGCCAGTCATCCCCCCAACTGTTCCTTAACGGAATTTTCAGAATCTCCTCCGCGTCCGGAGCAAAGAAGAGCTTGTTGATCACAGCGGCATTCCACTTGTGCTCACTTGTAATGAGTTCACTGACTTTTGCCAGCTCAGTGTCCTCTTTTTGACCCATTGGTTTCATTGAGTGCGACTTAGGGATTCAGTTATCATTCCAAATGGAAATGCTCTCTCCCGAGCCCACTCTCTTAATAAGCCCAACATTCATCGCTTCTCTTCCCGCCAATATAGCTCGCCAAGTCTTCGACGCCGCTCTTGGCGCAGATGCTTCCATCAAGTTCTGATTATGGCAGTATCTGCCCAGCAGGACTTGAGCACATAGCGATGTTGGATTAGTAAGTAATCTCCACACCTGTTTTCCAAGAAGAGCAATGTTAAACTTGTGCATATCTCTGAATCCCATTCCACCTTTGCTCTTGGGAACTGACATTTTATCCCATGCCATCTAGTGCATAGATCGTTTATCAAGATTGCCCCTCCACCAAAATCTCCCAGAAATAGATGTAAGTTTCTGACAAGATCCTTTTGACAAAAGGAAACAACTCATGCTATAGGTCGGCATGGCTTGGATGACAGATTTTATCAGGATTTCCTTCCCTGGATATGACAAGTTTTTCTCCGCCCAGCCATTCACCTTGCTCCTTGCGTTGTCAGCAATAAACTCAAACGCATCACTTGTTAACTTACCGACCGCAGTTGGCAGTCCCAGATACTTTTCACTAAAAGCCTCAACTTGAATGTTCAGATTAGTCTTGACTACAAGACGATGATCTTCGGAAGTACCTGGACTAAAAAATATTTTGCACTTTTCTCTTTATTAACTCTCTGGCCAGAAGCTTCATCATAAATCTGCAGAATCTCATTTAGCCTTCCGGCACTAGCACCATTTGCATTGACGAAGATGAGACTATTGTCTGCAAAAAGGAGATGTGATACCCAGGGTGATCTATTGCAGACTCTCACCCCCCTATCCACAAAACCAGTATTATACTTGTGTAACAGAGTAGTCAAACCTTCTCCACAAAAAAGGAAAAGGAATGGTGAAATTGGATCTCCCTGCCTAATTCCACGTGTGGGGTAAAAAGGTTCCAACAAACCTCCATTCACCTTGACTGAGAATCTGACAGTAGATATACACTTCATGATCAATTGAACTAGCCGTACAGGAAATCCTAGTTTCAACATCATTGCTTCAAGAAAGGGCCATTCAACCCGATCATATGCTTTCATCATGTCTAATTTAATAGCGCAATGGCCTTTCTTCCCTTTCTTCTTTCTCTTCATAGAGTGAATACTCTCAAAAGCCACCAGTGCATTATCTTGAATAAGTCTCCCTGGGACAAAAGCACTCTGCTCTTGACTGATAGTATACTCCAACACTGGTCTCATCTTGTTTGCAATTGTTTTTGTACCAATCTTGTAGAGCACATTGCAAAGTGAGATCGGCCGGTATTGCTTGATAGATTGAGGGTTTCTAACTTTTGGGATGAGAGTAATCGCTGTGTCATTCAGTTTCTCTGGTATCTCCCCCCCATTAAGAAAACTAAGAACTGCCTTGCATAGATCATCCCCAAAGAGATTCCAGTGATGCTGATAAAAACCAGCTGTAAATCCATCCACTCCGGGAGCTTTAGAAGGATGCATTTGAAAGAGAGCTTTTTTGACATCATCAGCCGTAAAGTCTTCTTCAAGCAACACTCTATCTTCTAAGGTAACTTTCTCTTCTACCAAATTTAGCACTCCTTGGAAGTTCGGAAAGCCTTTAGAAGTATACAAATCAGAATAAAAACTCTGAACTTCATTTTTAATATCATCTGCGTTGTCACACACAGAACCATCCTCACGATGTAACCTACTTATACCATTGATTCTTTTTCTTTGTGCCGCATGAGCATGGAAGTAGGCCGTGTTTCGATCCCCTGACTTTAACCAATTTACTCTTGATCTCTGCTTGATCCAAATTTCTTCCTGATAGAGGACTACATTTATTTTCTCCATGATCTTCCTTTCCTCTCCAGATGGGCCATGACCCACTGAAGTCTTCCTAACTTGGTCAAGCTCTTTTCTCATATTTTGGAGTTTCTTTTTAAAATTTCCAAAAGTCGTCGTTCCCCAGGACTCCAAGCCAGACTGCACACTCATCAAAGAGTTAGCAAAATCACTTAGGCCTGTACCTTTGTTTGCATTTGCCCACAGATCATTTACCACTTTATCATAGTCCGCATGAGTTTGCCACACGTTTTCATACTTGAAGTTGCGACCCTTGTTTAATTGATGCTGCATATACTTTTTCATTTCAATTGTCAGCATACAATGATCCGATTGAACCATGTTAACATGTTTTACTCTAAGGACCTGGAACATTTAACGGAGGTCTTCTGTCCCAAGAGCTCTATCTAACCGAGCCTTAACATTGGCCCTCCCATCTTGCCTATTATCCCAAGTGAATGGCTGACCTGAGAAACCCAAATCCTGCAACTCACAGTCTTCAATCGCTTCTCGAAAGGCTCTCATCTGCCACTCTTCTCTAGTATGCTCACTAAAATGCTCCGTGTTATACATGGTTTCATTGAAATCACCAACGCATAACCACGGCAGATTTTGGAGCCCCTTGAATCTCCTCATTAGAGTCCATGTATGATGTCTATTTTCTCTTCTAGGATCTCCATATATCCCTGTAAACCTCCATTTAGGAGTTAAATTATCTTTATACTGAACAATAGCGTCGATGTGGTACTTATTGCAACTCTTCACCTCAACTGAAACTGCTGACGACCAATAGAGTCCAATGCCCCCACTCGAACCAACACTATCAACTGCAAAACCTCCGCCAAAGCCAAAGGTGTTCTTCAATTTCTCCACTCTTTTACCTTCGATCTTCGTCTTCATAACGAAAAGCAAGGCAGGGTCCATTTGCTTCACAAAAGCGCGAAGCTCTCGAACTGCCGGGTCGTTCCCAAGTCCCCGACAGTTCACACTCAAACAACTCATTGGACCCGGCGTGGCTGCTTAACAGCCAACGCCGATGAGTTTTGGTTTTCAGTTGTTACTTTCTTCTTCTTAGCATCCGGGGTTAAACCCTCTTTTCTACTTCTCAACTCAGCTTCCTCGCGCTTGGATCCCGTGATCTGCCGTTCGAACATAACCATATCCCTGCTAATGTTTTTATCACTGGGATTTCCCCCTGGCTTGGTTCAACTGGTGAGATTTATCAATTTCCTGTAGACTGGCATCTTACCACCTCGCATGTTCTGGTTTCTCCCTCTTCCACGGTCACCCCTGGGAGCTCGGAAGGGGGGTTTATCAACTGGATCTCCACTAACATGCTCTTGATTATCAGCCCCAGCTTGATCCTTCCGATACTCATTATGGAAATCATCATAGCCACCCTCAGCAAAAGGGGGGCCTTTCTTTTTCTTCAAGCCATTTGGGGCCCTTAGAAAGGGACCCCATGGCAGGTTTCCATCCTCATTCCTCTCTGCCGGCGTCGGACATACAGTTTCAGAGTGCCCAAGAACACCACAAGAGAAACAAAAATAAGGCAGGAACTCATATTGGACAGAATACCAGAAAGTCTTCTCCATTTTCTTTGAATCCAGTCCCACCCACCTCATGAGTGGTTCTCTCACCTTGATGAAGACTCTCGCACGCAAATACTGAGCACTAACAAGGCCATCTTTATTGATGTCTAACTTGACAAATTCTCCAACCTTGCTGGCAATCTTCTTCCCCCAAATCTCATTCAATTTATTAAACGGGAGATCAATAACACGTACCCAAATCAACAGTTTGTCAAACTTCATCTCCGAAGGACGACTTCTGTGATGAAAATTTTCCAACACGACTGCACATTTGTTCACCATCCATGGGGATCTCTCCCAGATGCGATCACGATCCCTCTCGGACTCCAATTCTGCAATGAACATATTTCTTCCACCATCCCGGAAGACCAACCCCTTAGGGTTCCCCCACACTGGGCGAAGGGCACTGGAGATCGTATTGACGTGAAAAGCTTTTGGTTCTGATAGGATCTTCCCCGCCAGCGCCCACATAGGTTTTTCAGCCTCCTCTTCATCGTCATCCACTAACCTGCTGCCTCCGCAGCAGTCAACTTGAGATTCTTCATCATCTCCTCGAATGGGATCTCCTTGCCGTCAACCTCTTTCTCTTCCGCCGCTGCTGGTTCCCCCCGGGGTTCCATCACGACCACTGCTTCTTCTTCTCCTGGCGAGAGCAATCCCAAGACCACTCTCCTTTCCTGCGCCCCGACAATAAAACGACGGGCGCCACCAAGGTTACTCGAAAAACACTAATCGCCTAACGAGGGAGAGAGAATGTTTTTTCGGAACCAGCTCTAGAATGTCTGCTCAGGCGTATGAAAGAGTAGTGGTTAAAAACTTAAAATTGCAAGAGGTCATGGATAGTTCCATGAATAATGAGAAATATATTCTAGAATATGATAATATAATAGAGATAGTATAGATTGATGAATAGGAGAGAATTGAAGATTTCAAAATCTAGGAAAACTAGGAATGGTATTTATAGGAATCCCCCCCCCCACTCAACCCCTCCAATGACCCTCAACGGATCATTGGCTTTCTTCAGTCTTTTCTTTCACTAGAAACATATGATAAATACTAGTAAGGATGTTTTTACTTGGACTGTAATTTGTCCCAGACCAGATCAGACCAGACCAGACTTGGATAGTTATACAAATACAAAGAAACAAAACCAGACCAGTTCAGACCAAACCAGATCAGACCAGACCAGACCATCAAATTACAGTCCAAGTAAAAACATCCTAAGTCTCGACAATGTAAATGATTACAGGTCACTTGAATTTTCATTTTCATTATTAAAAATGGTACTTCTGAATTGTTTTCTTGGAATATTTTGATTGGTAATTTGTAACGAGTGTTGTTGTTGTTGTTGTTGTTCTTGTTAATGCAAGGCTTTCCCGCGGGACTCGCCCTTGGCCACCGACATGTCTACAGCAATTTTAACACTGTCTGAGAATGGGGAGCTGCAGAGGATTCATGACAAGTGGTTGCTCCGAGCTGGCTGCGATTCGGATGGAACCGAGATTGATTCAGACCGTCTTCATCTCAAGAGCTTTTGGGGTCTATTCGTCATTTGTGGTGCAGCTTGTGTCATTGCACTACTCATATATTGCTGCCAAATCATTCTCAAGTTCCGCCGAATTGCTCGCGCCGAATCGGTTGGAGATGGCTCTGGCAGTTCGCATTCTAGAAACTTGCGAAGGCTGATATCACTTATTGATGAGAAATCTGATCCCTCAAAAAGGGACAAGAAGAGGAGAAAAATTGATGCACAACAACAGAGCCACTCTATGGAGAACAGTGGACATTCAAACCGCATTAACGATGCAAGTGGAGGCCGGACCCCAACACTTTTAGCCCCCCAGCTACACTTCTATCAATCTGAGCATAATTAACGTCTATATATATTCACTCTCCCAAGTGGTTTTGTCCGTCCTCATCCTCTAGTGTTCAGAGTGTGTTGGGCTACAAGAGCTCTATTTGTGAACTGAACAATTCAGAGACTGGAAATGGAGAGGATTATTTTTCCAAGACCAAAAGTATGCCAAGGTATAACCAGAGGACTGAAATTGTCATTTTCCCTTTTGTATTGTTGGTTGGTTATTCACAAAAGTCACAGATAAATTCTCTATTTATGTTGCATTTCTAGTCTTGTCCTAAAGAGGACATCATTCTGTATACAACTATATGGGCTTAGAATCTACAGAAAATGAATGATAACTAACATAGTTTGTGTATATGGAAAAAGTTGATATTTGGTCTTTGTTTGATGATTGTTTCTCTCTGTGTGCTACAATTTTTTTTATCACATTGTCTATAGCACTACGGATGGCCAGTTGGCCACAGTCCTGTTTCAAGTTGGTTATGGTCCAGGAGACCAGGACCAGCCAGTCTGAGCCCCGAGGTGGACTCTAGACGTTGCAGGTTATTTTGGTTATGTTGATGTATATTATCCCGACCTACTACTGTTTAGGGGTCCAAGATGAAGCCCAATCAATGAAGCCCATTTCGACTGACCCGGTCCCCTTTAGCCCACGCGGCCCATTAGGGTAGCTTTGCATCATTCCCCTCTTTCCCTATAAATAGGAGATTTTCCCTCCATGTTAGGGGTTGGTCAATACTTGTACTATGTAAACGGTGAGGAGAGCCTAATAAGAATGAGAGGGACTTGTACATTAGCTCAAAAAGTCCAATAGTAATAATCTCCCTTTCAGGCAGGCGTGGACTCGGGCCAGGTCCGTGTCGGGCCTAGGCCCGGGCAGGCCGGCTAATAGGAAAAGGAGAAAGTGAAATCTTATTGATTAAGGGAAAGAGTACAAGTATTTATAGAAGTCAACTAACCAACAGACTGGTCAGATAGACTATAACAAACTGTAACTGCCTAACAGTACAATCGGTTATTGACTAGGCTATTTACAGTATTTAACTAATACAATCTAATACAATCTTCCTAACATTCCCCCCTCAAAATTAGGGTGATTGATTTGGAAAATCAATCACACTAAGTTTGGGTCTAAGTTCCAGGAAGGTAGCTGCAGATAACGGCTTAGTTAATATGTCAGCAAGTTGTTGAGGGGCTGGAATGTGATAGATTGCAAGCTGTTTGGATTGTACTTTTTCCCTTACAAAGAACAAATCTATCTCCATATGTTTGATCCTTGAATGAAGTACAGGATTGTGAGCTAGTTGGACTGTGTTTAAATTGTCACAATAGATTCTGGGAGTATCAAAAGGAACTTGGAGTTCTTTCAGCAAGAACTGGATCCACAACAGTTCTGCTGCAGTGTCTGCAAGGCTCCTGTACTCAGCTTCTGTTGATGATCTGGCCACACGTGCTTGTTTCTTGGACCACCAAGAGATGATATTGGAGCCAAGGAAAATACAGGATCCAGAGGTAGATCTTCTATCAGTTGGGTCTAAGGCCCAATCTGCATCACAAAAGGCTGATATAGGAAGAGATGAGGTGGTTAAAGACAGAGGTTTGATGACAATTCCATGAGTGATGGTTCCAGAGAGGTATCTTAATATATGTTTAACAGCTTTCAAGTGATCTTCCAAAGGTGTTGCCATAAACTGACATACTTTGTTGACAGCAAAACTAATCTCTGGTCTGGTTAAGGTGGCATATTGTAATGTTCCAACAATAGATCTGTAGGATGAAGGATCTGGCAGAGGATCACTACCCTGATGGGAAAGTTTGCAGGTGCTAAGCATAGGTGTTTTCACACCTTTGGAATCTATCATGCCCACTTGCTGAAGCAGATCTCGCACATATTTGCCTTGGGACAGATGAAGACTCCCATCAGGTAATTTCTTGACCTCAATGCCTAGAAAGAAGTCAATGTCTCCTAGATGTTTAAGAGAAAATGAGGAGTTCAGTTTATGAATGAGTTGCTGGATTACTGTAGGGTTGTTTCCAATGACCAAAATGTCATCAACATATATCAGAATGTATATTTGGATTCCAGAAGACACAGAGATGAGTAAGGAAGGATCACATTTGCTCTGTGTGAAGCCAGAACTGTATAGGACTGAAGTCAGTTTTTGAAACCAAGCTCTTGGAGCTTGTTTAAGTCCATAAAGGGACTTATGAAGTTTACAGACAAGAGAGGTATCTTTATTCTGAAAACCTGGGGGCTGTGTCATGTATACCTCTTCCTCTAGTTCCCCATTTAGAAAGGCATTATTTATATCCAGCTGTTGAATAGTCCAATTGTGTGAGACAGCAAGAGTAAGTAGAGTTCTGATAGTTATTGATTTAACTACTGGAGAAAAAGTTTTTCCAAAGTCAAACCCAAATCTCTGGTGAAACCCTTTAGCAACTAGTCTGGCTTTATACTTGTTTAGTGAACCATCTGAGTTTTCCTTGATTCTAAAAACCCATTTGCAACCTACTGCCTGTTTGTCTGGTGGCAAGGAGACTAGAGACCATGTTTTGTTGTTGATTAGAGCATCATATTCTGACTTCATAGCTGCAAACCATTCAGGAGAAGCAAGTGCTTGCTTGACTGAGTGAGGCTCAGTATTGGCTAATAGCAAGGTTGGATGTAGTCTTGGTTTCACAATTCCTGATTTGGCTCGTGTAGTCATGGGATGAGTATTAGTTATAGGAGAGGGAGATGGTGAGGATGTTGAGGATAAGGAATTTGTTGGAGAGGAAGACAGATTAGGTTGAGTGAATTGATGAAGAGGAGGTGAGATAGGAATAGATGAAGCAATGGAAGTACTTTGAGAATCACAGTTTTTAGTGGATTGAGAATTATGTGAATATGAGGTAGTGGAAAAGGGGAGTACAGTAAGGGGAGCAGTAATTAATGATGAATTGGTTACAGAATTGGAATTGGTAGATGGAAAGAGAATTGAGTATGGAAACTTTGACTCATGAAAGATGACATCTTTAGAGATGTAAACTTTTCCAGATTTTGAGAGGCATTTATAACCTTTATGCTGAGAGGAGTAGCCTAAGAAGACACATTCTTCAGAATGGAAGTCCATCTTGTGCTTGTTGTAAGGTCTTATAAATGGATAGCATGAACAACCAAAGACTTTAAGGAAGAAATAATCTGGTTGAGATCCAAACAATTTGAAATAAGGGCTGAAATTATTGATGGATTTAGATGGAGTTCTGTTAATAAGATGGACAGCAGTGGCAAAGGCGGCATCCCAAAATTTGAATGGTAATGAGGAATGAGCAAGGAGAGAAAGGCCCTTTTCAACTATAGTACGATGTTTCCTTTCAACTACACCATTTTGATGGTGTGTGTGTGGACAAATTAGTCTATGTGTGATGCCTTTTTGTGTTAGGAACTGAGTAAAGGACCTAAACTCTCCTCCCCAGTCAGACTGGATAGATTTAATTGACACAGAGAATTGAGTGAGCACATGTTGATAGAAGTTCTGAAATGCTATGAGTGCATCAGACTTCTTTTTGAGAAAGTAAATCCAAGTGTACTTAGTACAGGCATCTATGAATGAAATATAATAAGAGTAACCATCATAGGACAGGATGGGTGCTGGACCCCAAAGATCAGTAAAAATTAAATCAAAGGGTGAGTGATATTCTGAAACAGAGGTATGTGATGGCAATCTGTGTGATTTCCCTAAACAGCATGCAGAACAGAACTCAACAGTATTTTTATTGATAGATGGAACATTACAATGTTTAAGTATAGATTTGAGTGCTTCAAAGTGAGGATGACCAAGCCTCAAATGCCACAGAGTACAATCAACAACAGGATTACAAGGCTGAGATTTATTACAAGTAGAATTATAAGAAGATTTATTACAAGTAGAATTATAAGAAGACATATTTGTAGACTTAAAGACAAGACTGGACTGAATAGAACCAAGAGCTGGAAACTGTTTGAACTTGTAAAGACCATCTTCACCAAGAGTGCCATGTAAAAGAACCTGTTTAGAAACCTGTGATTTTACAAAGCACTCATGAGGATAGAATTCAAAGAATACATTATTGTCTTTTGCAAATTGACTAACTCTCAAAAGGTTTTTGTTAATGGAAGGAACATGCAGAATGTTGTTTAGTGTTAGATGTTGAGAAGAGTGAAAGGGTGAGGGAAAGGAAGAGTGACCAATAGACTTTATATCCAAACCTTGGCCATTGCCCATAAAAAGCTTCTCAGTTGTTGCAAACGGCTCACTGTGCTGAAGGTTTAGAGGGTCTGAAGTAACATGATGTGTTGCTCCAGAGTCGGGGTACCATTGTTGAGGTGAAGGGCCTGATCCAAGTATGGAAGAATGCACAGTTGCTACAGCTGCACTTGGTGTAGGATTGGATGATTGCTGATTCCAGTTAGAGGCTTCCAAAGTAGGGTTATTAAATCTGGAGTGAGGCGGTGGATAATGCTGGTGATGTGGATAGGGATTTGGATAGGGTGAATTAATAGTTTGTTGGGGAAATTGAGTTTGATTAGGGTATGTAGCTGGTTGATGAGGATAGGCAGAATGTTGATTCCAAGGATTGGAAGATGTAGGAAAAGGATTAGTGTAGTTTGAAACAGGTGCAGCATAAGCAGGATTGTACCTATGATAGCAATTTAGGGCATTGTGGCCAGATTTTCCACAAACTTGACATATAGTAGAATTCCGACCACCAAAGCGACCTCCACGTCCTCTGGTAAATCCTCCACGACCACGTCCCATGTAGGGAGGATTAGAGGTTTGATTTTGGAATTGAGCAACGTTTGCTGAAGAGGTTTCTGAAATTGTTGGATTAGTGGCTTCGGAATTAGGAGTCGAAACTTCCGCACGAGCAATATTCGCAGAAAATAAGGTTTGCTGAGAAGATTCACGCAATTTCTTTAGTCGTAGCTCTTTCGCTAGAAGTAGGGATTCGAGCTCTGTGATGGTTACAGGATCCATGATGCTCCTGGATGAAACAGAAGAAACCAGTGACTCATAATCTTCTGGAAGTCCTTCGAGAATGACGTTTATATGATCCTTTGTGGATATAGGTTCACCAATGTTCATCAAGTTATCAACAATGTTCTGAATCCTGAGAAGATATTCTGAGATTGATCGATCACCTTTACCAGTTGAATATAGCTCAGATTTAAGTTGTCTTGCTCTGGCGATAATGTTTGCCTGAAAAATTTTGTCAATTTCATTCCACAGCTGATACGAATGTTGACAGTGTATCACTCGAGTATGAAGAGATTCAGAGAGAGATGCTAAAAGCCATGAAAATAGCATCTGATCGTGCTGCTCCCAAGTGACATAGGCATCGTTCTCAACCTTCGTGCCTCCTTCTTCACCTGCGATGAACTTTTCAG